TTCTGCAACATGGCACTGAAGTGTATACTAGCTTTCTGATGGTCCAGAGCCTTGGGCTATCCTCCACAACAGTGCTACCTTTATCATTAATTTTTCATGTAAAAAAACAAAGGAGAAAGCCAGCTAATATCAGAGAAATATTCCTAGCCAAAGCCCACAGTCCCCTGCCTTTTATTATTAGTTTCAAGTTTCCCAAGTGATGTTTGACATGCCTTTAAATTTACCAGAATAGTAAGAAATAAAATTCTTCAGTAAAAAACTTCATGTCACACCCATGAATAGGAGACCATTACCCTACCTTTTTTGTGGTAAAACCACAGGAGTGAGGCAAGAAAGTCTAGGAAACTCATAGTTTCCTTGAAGTGTTCCCCTCAAAGGAGAAGGTTTGGAGTGACTTCCAAATCCCAAGAGGAAGCTTCAGCTCCAGATGGACCTGTGATTTTCCTCCCCTTATACTATCATTGCTTTCCCACTACTCAAGTTCCTGAAGGGACTGCAGTTGTACAACAGGTGCAAAGGCCCATTAACTCCTATGCAAATATGAACCAGCCTTGGAGGAAAATATGCTCCAGTTGCTCACTTTGCTTTACCCCTCCTGACCCACAGACCTTTGCATACAGGGCATATAGGGTGTATAGTCGAGGGGTTTTATACTGTCACCCATCACTGTAGTATCTGAATACCTATAGCATGGAAAAGCTTCTACATGCTCAGTGGGAAGCTATTAATTATCATGAGTAATTGCATTAGAATAGCACCTACAGAATCCAATCAAGGATCAGGGTCGCTTTGTGCTAGGCATTATAAAAATATATTTTGATCTTAGCTCTGAGGAGCCATGAAGAAGACTCTACTATAGGGCCTACTCTGCAGAGCTGTTGCCCCAATCAACCCATACTTTCCGTGACCTCTAATACAGCTTGGATGGCTTGTGTTCCCTTACACTTTTATTACTGAATTGGTGCATATAGGTCAAGATCTGTATTGCAGCACACCTAGGGAAAACATTAATAATTCAATGTTCTGAAGTGGAAGGACAATTTACGTGATCTGAAAAAAAAAATCAAAACTGGTCTTATTCCCTGTTTGCTTCTTTATGAAGAAGGCTTGAAAAGGTCTCTGTGTGTTTTGCTCTTTGTTGTTTGTTTGTTTATTTGTTTTAAAGAGTGGGCAAGTGGTTTTGCTTAACTTTTCCCTCAGAAGTACTAACAGTGTGGTTAAACTTACTAAAAAGTCATTGGAGGTCTTAAACTATCAACATTTACAGGTTTTATCAGGGGTGTGAGTGTGCTGATTTTTTTTTTTTTTTTTTTTAATAAAGGCCTTGTATTTGTTCTCAGACAATCAAACAAAAATCAAAGTTTGAAAGAGTCAGGCCAAAAATCTTTTCCCCTCTCAGGCCTTGCCTATATTCAAAATTACAGTGGTTCAACTAAGGTTTAATGTAGTTAAACTGGTGCAAAACCCTAAGTGGACGCTCTTAATTCAATTTAAACCCGGTTTATAGCAATTTGGTTTAACTCACTTACTTATAATAAAATAATACAAACAAGGTTTAAACTGAATTAAGTGTCCACATCAGGTTTTGCACTTGTTTAACTCAACTGGTTTTTAAATGCATTTTGAAGTTGAAATGGTGCAACTTTTGAATATTGACATGACCTCAGTTTTCAGTTTCCTAATTTGTGGTGTTATAATCTTACTAGCTTTCCAGTTATCCAGAGTTCCAGGGGATCCAAGACCTAAATTTCTAATCTAAAGACAAATGAGGGCGGGGGGGGAGAGAGATCTTCCAGGCCTTCATCTGTGATTTTAGCTTTGCAACTCATCTTTATATATTGCAGTGTTTCTAATGTCACGGCATTTACTCAGATAACAACCATGATGAAAGTACAGACCCCCTACGTAATTTCCTCACTGGTGAGCAGCTGTGGCTATTGATTAATAACTTGACATTTAGTACTGTACAAGTACATCCTGAATGTCCTCAACCCAACAGAAGATATAACGAGGCCAATACTTGAGGCAAGAACTGTACTTTTCACTGGTTGAAGAAAATACTTTTGGAGACATCATGACCTCAAACATTACCAGCTTTGATACACTGGTGTGAGATGATTATGCATATGTTTACAAAAAAAAAAAGAAGCAGTTTAGATTAACTGTATGTTAACACTTTAAGAAACACTAAAACCCAACCCTAGAAAATTGTCTAGGAATCTGATGGTTACAAGTTGCTTTGCAAATGTGTGAAAAAATAAAGCAATGAAAGGATTCACCATAATCCAAATCAATTTTGCCAAAAAAGTTTCTAAAATATGTATATAACAGTTTCCAGTTTCTCATCTGTAACATTTGCTATGTGGTAGGGTCCAGTCATTTTTTTATATGATCATGGAAACTTAAAACTAGCAGGAAAACTAGCTTCTCCTTACATTCTCTGTTTATGACTAATAAAAAAAACATAAAGGAGACATACAGGTAAAAATGAATGCAATGGGATTATTCCCAAAACAGTGTGTACTTTGTAAATATTAATCTTTCCTTTTACTCATGAGGAAAACTTCATCTCAGACTACTACAGAAAAACAACTAGTTGGAATATGTTATGAGGTATTTTAGTAGGTCAGTTTTAGGCACAACTTACGAATTTCAGTGCTTAGGTCAGGGGTCGGCAACGTTTGGCACGTGGCTCGCCAGGGTAAGCACCCTGGCGGGCCGGGCCAGTTTATTTACCTGCTGACGCGGCAGGTTCGGCCGAGAGCGCCCCCCACTGGCCGCGGTTCGCCGTCCTGGGCCAATGGGGGCGGTGGGAAGCGGCGCAGGCGAGGGATGTGCTGGCCGCGGCTTCCCGCCGCCCCCATTAGCCCGGGACGGCGAACCGCAGCCAGTGGGGGTCGCGCTCGGCCGAACCTGCCGCATCAGCAGGTAAATAAACTGGCCCGGCCCGCCAGGGTGCTTACCCTGGCGAGCCGCGTGCCAAATGTTGCCGACCCCTGGCTTAGGTAAAGTGGGGGAAAGACAAGTCAGGCAGAACTCCCCACATGGCTCTGATAACGTTCTGCTGATTAGCAGGCTCAAATACCCCACTCCTTCCAGTACCATCAAATGTGAATATGGGCAAATATTCAGTAGGTATTAGCTTCAGAATACGCAAACTCACTGTGAACCTAGTGATATCTGAACTGTATACCCAGAAAAGCTGTCACTGCAAATAGCTCCTGGCAGTGAATTTTCCATTTGATGTTGCTCACTATCAAACTCCTTAAAAGCAATACTGTCAAATGCTTGCCTTGAGGGCCAAAATTTGATTCAACATACTTTGAATCTGATAGGGAAAGTCCACTAGATTCTCAATAGGTGTTTTGGTGGTGTTGGTTTGTTTGTTTTTAGGCCTGATAGTTGCTGTTTTGGGAATGTTTATGCACTCTGAAGCAACATGAAACTAACAAACTCTGGTTTCAGAATTCCTCTCATATTAATCGAGAATACCGGTGCACAAACAACGGATCTCATCCTGCACCTACTAAAGTCAGGGGACATTTTCTATTATCTTCAGTAAGAGTAGAAGCAGACCACTGTTCTAAGCGAAAGTTATGCTCTGTTGCTGTTAAACAATGGCATCCATGTTAATTTCAACTGCATTCAAAAAGAGAAAAAAAAATTGTGGCCGATGTGATATGGCAAAAGCCTCCTTTTTCAAGCTTTTCAGAGGGTATTACAAAAAAAAAATCAACGGAGTTTTATTTAAAATATAAATATTCCTCCAGAGGTTTATTTGTTTTAATAGAAAGGGGGGAGTGTACACATAAGTACTCCAGGCACCTGGAAATATCAGCTTCAGGATCGCAAATCATTACAGACCAGTGGTTTTCAAACTGGGGTCTGCAGATTATGTCTAAAGGGGTCCGCAAAAGGTGGCTGTTACCATAAAACAGTAGTTTTCAACCTGTGGTACATGGACCCCAGGGGAGGCGCAGACTATGTCTAAGATTTCCCAAGTGGTCTGCATCGTCATTTGAAATTTTTAGGTGTCTGCAAATTAAAAGATGTTGAAAACCACTGTTACAGATTAATCCTGTCACCAAAATGCATCAGGCTGCAGCCCCACTGCCCATCATTGCTCAAACCAGGGGGCTTCTCTGGGAGTCCACTCATTGGCATGACAAGCTCTATAGAAAGCGGAGCAAAGCACAGAGAGAGGGAAGCAGCAAGCGGCTGCCCCAGGTAGAGTTCTGCACCAGTGCAAGGAGCTGAATACCCTGGGTCTACTGAACCATAGCGTTAGAAGGCACTGCAAGGGTCATCTAGTCTAACCCCCTGCCAAGATGCAGGATGTGTTGTGCCTAAAGCATTGAGCGTGCTACGAACAGTACGGAGAAGGTGCAGTCTCCCACCTCTGAAGAAGGAAAGGATGTGGGGAAGGCTCCAACATAGGGGAGAAGGAGGAAAAGGAGGCAGCTCCCTACTGGGGCGAATGGGCCTTCCAGTGGCCCCTAAACTGCCTAAAGCACCCACTCCAACGCCTTATTCCCCGTCTGTGGGAACCTCTCTGCCCAGGCCTGGGGGAATTAGGGTGACCAGATGTCCCGATTTTATAGGGACAGTCCCAATATTCTGGGCCTTTTCTTATATAGGTGCCTATTACCCCCCACCACCTGTCCCCATTTTTCTGCGGACCCCCCGCTGCTGCCGGTGCTGCCGGCCCCCAGCGTCGGCACAAGCACCCGGCAGGGCAGCCACGGCTCCCCGGCTCGCTCTGACCGCCCAGCGCCCCAGCTCCAGCCTCCTCCCACGCCCAGCCACACCTGCCCGCCGGCGGCACCGTTAGGTCCCTGGCCAGGCACTCCGCCAGCCCAGGGAGGCTCCTAGGCCGCAGCCCGGGGAGGGAGAGATCTGGTCACCCTAGGTGGGGCAGCCGGCGCGCGACAGCCAGCCGGAGCCCGGGGACACATGGAAGAACGAACAGCAGCGCCCACCCCGCGGCTGCCGGCACTTACCATCCGTGGCCAGCGACATCTCTATGAGGGTCTCGTTGTCCTTCCGCCCCAGCCTGTTCATGGCTGCTCCGCTCACCAGGCCCTGCGCTAGACTGAGACCCAGCCGCCCAAGTGCTGGAGCCAGGCGAGAGCACCCCGCTCCTCTTCTCCCTCTTCCACTCCTCCCTGTCTCCTCCCTTCGCCAGCTGCTCCTGCTCCCGGAGGACGCCGGAACTCCGCGCCCGCCCGGGTTTCGGGTTACTGTGTCAGCTGGGAGGGAGGGGGGGCGCGGGCTGAGTCAGGGTCTGCGCCGGGGCTGGGCTTGGGTTACCGGGCAGTAGGCTGCATGCGCAGTTCTCACAGCTCCAGCTGGAGCGGGAGGGGACGGCAGCGGCAGCGGCGCCTGTTCCAGGATGTGCCAGCAATGTTGCACGCTGCTAGTGATGGAGCCGGGATGCCCCTCCTTGCACACACGCGGGCTCTTAATCACATCTGCTGTTTCCGCCCAAGAAGCCGGTGTAGCGGCAGAAAACTGCTGGCTTTTTTCTTGGACCAAAATCTCTGTGCCCTGAAATGTTAGTACCTAGAAAAGTAAAAGGTGCATGGAGTGGTGCAGAGTTATCGAAATAGATCCGTGTTCACTACAACTGCTCAAAGAGAAACCAAACTAGCCAGTGAACAGGAAAGACAAGTAGCGGGACCCCTTCAGGTGATTCTCATTTGAAAGACTCCGAAAAGGGATCTTGAGACGGAGAGCCCTTTCAGCGTGAGTTTGTGCTATGTGTAAAGCCCAGCGTGGAAGAAAGTTCAGAAATATTGATAGGAGAACTAGACAAGTATTCAAGGTTGGCGTTCTTGGCTGAGCAGGGGAATGTGGGGGCCATGGAATCAGAGAACAGAGCAGATAAATACAGATCTTCTCTGTTTTTCTCTATCATACCATAGTGCTGCCCAAAAGTTGGCATCATACACCAGCTGTTACAGTTTGGTTTAGTCCCTTAGAGTGAATTTCCCCTTAGGGAGAATGAACACTATTGTAGGATTAAGCATGTGGAATATGTTTAGGATTAAACATTTATTATTCTTGGCTGCACCTATTAAGGAGGAGCAGACAACCAGACAGGGAACGCTATAACCTGCATGACTGTCATGCCTCTGAGTAATGTATATATGGTATTTGGGCTGTTTGTTTTATGCCAGATACTTCCTGTACCAGGTGATCTTGCAAATGGACTAACATGGAGTTTGGAAGCTAATAAAGGACTAAGCCAGGGGTTGGCAACCTTTCAGACGTGGTGTGCCAAGTCTTCATTTATTCACTCCAATTTAAGGTTTCGTGTGCCAGTAATACATTTTAACGTTTTTAGAAGGTCTCTTTCTATAAGTCTATAATATAACACTAAACTATTGTTGTATGTAAAGTAAATAAGGTTTTTAAAATGTTTAAGAAGCTTCATTTAAAATTAAATTAAAATGCAGAGCCCCCCAGACCGGTAGCCAGGACCCGGGCAGTGTGAGTGCCACTGAAAATCAGCTCGCGTGCCGCCTTCGGCATGCGTGCCATAGGTTGCCTACCCCTGTATTATACAATGCCTTTATCTAATGCAGCACCTACAGTAAAGATTATATAGGAACTATCAGAACTGACTCTAAAAAAGATTTGTTTTGCAATCAAACAGAATGCATTCCACATGATAATACATCCCACAGTTTCCCCACTAAAAATTAATTATTCTTTTTGATGTTATCCACATTGACTTTAGAGTGGTCCAGTGAATGGTCCAGTGAATGTGCATAAGTAGAACTGAATGGGTAGAGTAAAAAATTAACTTTGTGATTACTTCAAATGCAGTAAATATATGGATCATTAATGGTTTCATGTAATTTACTGAAACATTAAAAATGGATTAATGGAAGAATTTTTTAGCCAAAATGTAAAGAAATATTTCACTTCCTTTCCCTTTTTGTAGCAAAATAGAGCTAATGAAGTCTGATGTTCATGAAGTCTTTCTTCATAAAGTCTTTCTTCTTTATCTGCTCTAGGCTTTGTTTGAGGTTGCTAGTATTATATTTTGACATTTCATTATGTATCCGATTGTAGTCTATGAGACATATAATAAATACATAGATAAAACTGTGTGCGTATCTTATAAATACCTCCCAACTGCACCTAACTTTCAGAGTTACTGAGTTTTAGATAAGCTTCTTGGCATCCCCCTCTTAAAACAATTTTACTAGATCACTTCATTCCAAACAGGCATCTCAATTTATTTAATTAGCCATTTTATAACAGTCACAAATAATCTCAGACTTTTTCTTCCATGCACTCCCATCCTTCCATTCATATTTTCATAGCATTTGAGGCCAGAAGGGGCCATTAGGTCATCTAGTCTGACTTTCTGTATATCATAGGCCATTAAATTTCATGCAGTTACCCTTATATACTGAGCCCAATAATTTGGGTCAGACCAAAGTATTTCAGTCCTCAGGAGTCTAAACCATTGTGTGACACAGGCACAGGAGAGATCAAGGGGACACCAATGCTGAAGGTGCCTGTAATGGCAGGGAACTGATTAGGAGAGATATGCCCTAGCAAGCAATCCACATTTCATGCAAAGGAAGGTGAAACCCCACCAAGGTCCCTGACAATCTGACCTGAGAGAATATTTCTTCCCACCCCCAAATCTGATGACCAGTTAGACTCTGAGTATGTGACCAGCCAAGCATTGAGAAAGAGGATTTTCTGTACTGACTCAGAGCACTAACCCACCCTGTTCAGTGTCCCTGTCTCCAAGTGTGGCCATCCCTGATGCTTCAGAAAAAGGTAAACCCTCCCATTCCCAGAAAACATCTAGTTAATTGTGCATCAGAGAAAAAAAATCCTTCCTAACCATTGAACGTGAATAGTTGAAGCCCTGAAGCATGAGATTTATTACAGTCATTGTCTTAATGCAGATCTGCAAGTGTTATGTACATGTTGAGGGCAATGCAGGCAATCCTGTTCTCCCCATGGCCCATGAGAGGAGGGAATCATAGTTTCACTGGTGCACAGACTCCCAGGCCAGGAAACTCCAAGGCCACAACCATCCAGCCTGACCTCTTGCACACACAAGCTGTAGAATTTCTCCCAGAAACTGTAGTTAAGCACATCTTTTAAAAGGATATTGACTTTCATAAACACTCCCAGCAATGGTGGGTCCACACCCTCCCCTGGTAAGCTGCTCCAAGGTTTAGTCACCCTCACTGCTATTGCAGTTTATTTCAAGGTTGAATTTATCTAACTTCAACTTCCAGCCATTAGATCTTGTTATGCCTTTATAAGCAAAACCAAAAAGCTCCTCCCACTGTCAGACCACTATTTCTTTCAGGGAGAATCACTTCTCCGTCATTCCTATTAGCTCTGCTTGGTCTAGATCAGTGGTTCTCAACCAGGGATATGTGTACCCCTGGGGGTACTTAGTGGTTTTCCAGAGGGTATATCAACTCATCTAGATAGTTGCCTAGTTTTACAACAGGCTACATAAAAAACACTAGCAAAGCCAGTACAAACTAAAATGTCATACAATGACTTGTTTATACTGCTCCATATACTATACACTGAAATGTAAGTACAATATTTATATTCCAATTGATTTATTTTATAATTACATGGTAAAAATGAGAAAGTAAGCAATTTTTCTGTAATAGTGTGCTGTGACACTTTTGTATTTTTATGTCTGATTTTGTAAGCAAATAGTTTTTAAGTGAGGTGAAACTTGGGGGTACGTAAGACAAATCAGACTCCTGAAAGGGTACAGTAGTCTGAAAATGTTGAGAGCCACTGGTCTAGATCAGGAGTAGGCAACCTATGGCATGCATGCCGAAGGCAGCACGCAAGCTGATTTTCAGTGGCACTCACACTGCCCGGGTCCTGGCCACCGGTCCGGGGGGCTCTGCATTTTAATTTAATTTTAAATGAAGCTTCTTAAACATTTTAAAAACCTTATTTACTTTACATACAACAATAGTTTAGTTATATATTATAGACTTATAGAAAGATACTTCTAAAAACGTTAAAATGTATTACTGGCACACGAAACCTTAAATTAGAGTGAATAAATGAAGACTCGGCACACCACTTCTGAAAGGTTGTTGACTCCTGGTATAATAAGAAGCAAGATCATATTTCCCTTGCCCCACCCCCATCCTCAGACTCCATAACTGCCCAGTTCATTTCAGGATTCAGCTCAAAATTGCTTGCTTCTTATTGAAGTCCTTCAAAAATTTGATCTATATTGATTTCAATGGGAGTTAGGTGCCTAACCAAGTTAGATGCTTTGGAAATCCTGGTAGTTGCCTATCTGCATCTTTAGGTATCTAAATATCTTTGAAAATTGACCCTAAGTGCTTAAGGCTATGACTACACTAGACAGCTTGCAGTGGCACAGCTACACCAATGCTCTCCTATCATCTTAATTAATTCACCCCCAAAGAGTGGTGGTAGCTATGTTGGCAGGAGAAGCTATCCTGCCTACATAGCATTGTCCACACCAGCACTTAGGTTGGTGTAACTTATGTCACTCGGGGGTGGCTTATTCACACCCCTGAGTGACATAAGTTATACCAACATAAGTGGTAGTGTAGACATAGCCTAAGTCATTTATGAAAATGGGACTTAGGCTCCTAAGTCATTGAGGTGCTTTTGAAAATTGAGTCCAGTCTCTTGTTATTCATGTCTCTCTCCCACCCATCTAACACTAGCCTTCTCTTTTGTGTCTCTGTATACTTTCTCTGCACTTCAGTTTTCTGGAACAGCCTTCCTATATTTTCAGCCTCAGTGAATCCATCGCTTTTCAAATCTGATCTGAAAAATCTATGCTCTTTCTTCTCTTGCTCAGACCTCTTCATTTTCTCCTCTCTTCCCTTATTTAATCTCTACTGTGGGTCATATCGTTCTAATTAAAAATGGAGGTCATAGTATGGCTGAACTTCAGTCTTGTTTATACAGCATGCTAAAGTGCATAAGGGAGTGTGATTTGTAGAGTGCTCTAACTGCCCTGCATAGAGCTTGCTGGTGTGAACTAAAAGGTACCCGGTTCATGTCAGTTTAGTTCATGCCAGCAGGATCAGTTAGAGCACAGCACATCAGCGCACTTTACAAATCACACCCTTCTAATGTGCTTTACTGCACCATGTAGACATTTGTTTACAGCTTCCAGTGAAGGATGCCATACAAAATAAGCGCTCAAAACTAGAAATGCTACTGAGCATACTACTTAGACCAGGGGTGGGCAAACATTTTGGCCCGAGG